GATGCAGTGGCTTTTGGTCTCCCCAATGAGTCTGTGGCACAACCACAGGTAGTGGCTTTGGTCTCCCCTATGAGTCTGTGACACACTCATCACAGGTACAGTGGCTTTGGTCTCCCCAATGAGTCTGTGGCACACCCACTACAGGTACAGTGGCTTTGGTCTCCCCCAATGAGTCTGTGGCACACTCACTACAGGTGCAGTGGCTTTTGGTCTCCCCAATGAGTCTGTGACACACTCATCACAGGTACAGTGGCTTTGGTCTCCCCAATGAGTCTGTGGCACACTCACTACAGGTACAGTGGCTTTGGTCTCCCCAATGAGTCTGTGGCACACTCACTACAGGTGCAGTGGCTTTTGGTCTCCCCAATGAGTCTGTGACACACTCATCACAGGTACAGTGGCTTTGGTCTCCCCAATGACTCTGTGACACACTCATCAAGGATACATTGGCTGAATAATATTATTCACACATGCTTTGAGCCCGACAAGGAGAGAATAAAAGAACACATGAGTAACGAACAAAACACATACCAGTGCATTGCTTTCATACATCCAACAGATAATTTTGCCCAGTGATGTATGTTCCAAATTTCAAACATGTTCAAAATCTTCCATCGGATGGAACCAACATCACCAGTGAGTAACGAACAAAACACATACCAGTGCATTGCTTTCATACATCCAACAGATAATTTTGCCCAGTGATGTATGTTCCAAATTTCAAACATGTTCAAAATCTTCCATCGGATGGAACCAACATCACCAGTGAAGGACCGCAGGGGCCCTTATAAACGAATTAAAAATTGTGTTATATGTTGGTTGGATGTTCATCAGCGCTATATGGTGTAGTGTGAGTAATACTATATAAATACAGCTCTGGAACCATAATAATTAAAACAAAATGACTGGGCATTTTGAATCTCATCTGAAAAACAAAATGTTGTGCATCACAGTCCCATAATGTACAATGTACCGTACTCGACCGCGTTAGCGCCCATGCCCGGGCAAGCGCACATTCGGCAAAGCGCCCACCCCTTCAAAATGCAACTAATTTAAAACTTGGTCTTGCGTAACGAATCTTGGTAATTGTTTTTATATGATACAGCATGGATATCGACCGTTGTGAACATGTTGTGAATGCGTAGAACACGGTAACCGTGCGTAAACTACGCTTCGACAATGACCTGTTAATACAAGTAAAATGCGATAAATATTTCATGCCATATTCAGTTTACCTCTCAAAAATGGCTAGTTACTAGTTTTTTTGAAAAACTATGTCGTTTATTCGCTGAAATCAATTCCAACAGATCGTACTTCGACATCGATAATTCACTTCCGCATTGCGTTACCGGAAAGTCTTCGGGAATTTCCGAAGAATTGCGTCAGTACAACACAGCATTGTGATTGGTTAATAACCAACTTGACATTAGGTCAAAGGACGCCACTGCAGGTGAAATCTGCAAATGCATCATGGCGGAAAGTGATTTGTGATGAAAGTTTGCGTACGATCCAACACCTTCGTCAGTGGAGATAATATGACAATTTTGACTTCGACTGTGTTCCAACAGACTCAAATGTTTTTAATTTCATAAATTCTGGTGGTACCTAATTAATATTGTAATAAAATGTGCATATTTTTTGTGATCATTTCTGTTTCTTCATTGTGAAAATCAATGACGACTCAACTAATTTCGTAATTTGATTTCCCTCAAAGACGTAATCTGTTACTTGATGAATCAAATTTTTCATTTGCACTCTTTTTCGAGGGGGGTGCTCGGGTAAGCGCCCACCCCTAAAAAATCATGATTTTCTGAGTTGAGGCCCCTGGGCGCTAACGCGGTCGAGTACGGTATGTACCAAGTTTGAACGAAATTCATCAATACATGACAGAGATCTGGTTCTGGAATGGCAGAAGTGCTGGATTTTGATGCATTTTTCAAAATGGCCGCCAATCAGCCATTTTGAATCAGATCATGACACAAATGAATGTGCATATGTATCCCAATATATAGGATATGTGTGTGTGAAGTTTAAATGCGATCAGCCAAGGCACATCCAAGATACAGGTCTGGACATGCGCACACAGGTCAATTCAAAATACTTTAATATAGATGTTCACCTACCTTTTTGAAGAGCAACTTCTTGCATCTCATTTAGGGTCTGCTTCTCCTCCTCATATCGTTTTTCCAGTTCTTCTTTGATAGATTCAATTTCAGTTGCGTGTTCTGCATTCAATTTCTCCTCTAGTGTTCTTAATTTGTCCTCCATTTCAGACTTTTGTTGCTCTGTTTCACACTTCAATTGTTCAACTTGTTCTTCTAACTTTTCAAGAATGACATTTCTTTTGGTGAGTTCCTGGTTTAAAGATTCCACCTCAGTGTTGTGTTCATCATTCAAGGTTTCAGTTAATCTCCTCAACTGTTCCTCGTGTTCACATTTTTGCTGGTCAGCATTGCTAATCAACTGATCTATTCTTTTATCTAACTGTTGAACTATAGATGTTTTTTCCTCTTCAAATTCCAATAACTGTTTCTCATGGAAATTTGACAAAACTTCCAGCTAAGAGCAAAGAATATTATATTGTGAACACTGTGCAAATAATAAATGTTTATTTAATAGACATCCCAAATTCAATTTTCACATAACCTCAAAGTATTACTCTACAGAATAGAGAAAGTGTATGCAACCTTATGAGGTAGCAAGAATAACATGTTGGAAATAAACAGAATAAGTACACTGTAATATGGAATTACTTGGCAAGGAATCATCCTTCAATAAAATTTGAAAACAAGCAGCCTATCGGCTGAGATAGCTCCTTTTGAACTTTTGGTTTTTAACAAGAAGTTGAAAATATCACTTTTTACCAAAAATTACAAAAATATTCACCAAAATTAGAGAATTGAAGATATCATCACAAAATGAACAAATCTGAGAGAGGTCCACATGTAGTACCTATACATGTAATATCAAAGCAATCGGACTTTAGATATTAAACAAGAAGTTGAAAATATGACTTTTTACCAAAAATGACAAAAATATTCACCAAAATTAGAGAATTGAAGATATTATTACAAAATGAACAAATCTGAGAGAGATCCACATGTAGTACCTATATATGTAATATCAAAGCAATTGGACTTGTGGTTTTTAACAAGAAGTCAAAAATATAACTTTTTACTAAAAATGACAAAAATATTCACCAAAATTAGAGAATTGAAGATATCATCACAAAATGAACAAGCAGCCTATCGGCTGAGATAGCTCCACTGTTAGCAATGCACATTTCAATTAAAGAACTGAAGACATCATTAGAAAATGAACAATATGTATAGTATCAAAGCAATCGGACTTACAGTTTTTAACAAGAAGTCGAAAATATCACTTTCTACCAAAAATGACC